TGTAGCCACTTGGAGTCCAATACCTTCTCGACCTCGTACTCTTCTTCCCCATCTACGAGTTCCGGGCCTGGGCGGGGGTCAGTGGGTCAGTGGGTCGTTCTGCGATATCGTCCAGGCGGTGTGGCCTGATGTTCGTTACGGATACGACCAGGTGAACTCCCTTCTGTCGTGCAGTGAGTTGGAGTTTGATGGCAGCTGGGGAGATGACTTTGACGATCTTGAAGGGGCCAAGCCATTTGTGGTCCAGCTTTTTGGTTGGATGGTTGGTCGTGTAGTTCTGGGTGCTGAGCCAGACTTGGTCACCTTCTCGATATTCTGGGGCTGCCTCATGGTCTCGGTTGTAGTAGCGGGCCATCTCGTCTGCTGCGTGTTCCAGTGTGGCCTTCGCCTCCTCCTGCATTTTCATCATCCTTGATGAAAACGCGTCAGCGGCTTCCACTTCGGACGTACGTGTGGGTTCCATCCCCATTCTGGGGTGCTGGCCGGTATCGAGTTCGAAAGGGGTTCGGTGGGTGGATGAGTGGATGTGGTTGTTGTAGGAAAATTCCGCTAGCGGGAGCCAATCTGCCCAGTCATCCTGTCAATGGTTGACAAACACCCGGAGGTAGGCTTCGATCTCTTGGTTGACTCACTCGGTCTGTCCGTCCGTCTGGGGGTGGTAGGGCATTGAGGGGGTTAATTTTATGCCTAGGAGGTCTGCGAGCTCCCTCGAGAAGCGGGAGACGAAGGCGCTTCCTCTGTCGCTGAGGATCTCCTCAGGGAGCCTGTGATGCTTCCAGACGTGCTCTAGGAAGAGCCGCGCGATACCCTCCAAGTCTACGGTCGTCACAGTGGGGACCGCGTGGATACGTTTGGACAGGCGGTCCACCACCACCAGGATGGCGTTATATCCCTTGGACTCTGGGAGCTCTCCCACCATATCCACTGAAATTACCTGCCAACGACGGGTAGGGACTTTGTTCGGGGTAAGCTTCCCAACCTTTCGTGAGGGGAAGGATTTGACACGGTTACAGGTGTCGCACCCACATACGTATCGCCCAACATACTCTGCCATCCAGGGCCACCAGTAGTCGCGGGAGACAAGTTCCAGGGTTTTCCACCGCCCTGGGTGCCCTGTCGCCTGCGTGTCATGGTGTAGCCTCACTAGGTCATGGCGGAGTTGGGGGTCTTTTGGGACATATACCCTCCCCCAGTACAAGACCAATTCGCCTTGCCTTTCCCATTCATCTGACCTTAGCGTTCCCTCCCCTAGCTCTCGCATGGCTTTGACTACTCTTTCATCATGGTCCTTTGCCCTGCGTATCCGATCTAAGATGCCTACCTCCTCACCTTCCACCGAGAATGCCTCTGTTGTGCGGGCCTCAAACCAGGCTGGTTGGAGGAGGGTCAACCCTTCGTTGTCGTCTTTCCCTTTCGGGTGGTCAGCACGATGGGAGAGGGCATCCGGTTTTCCCATGAGCTTCCCAGGACGATGGACAAGGGTGAAGTGGAAGTGGGAGAGGAAGAGGGACCATCGGGCCTGGCAGCGATTTAGCCTCTGGGCCATCCGGAAGTACCCCAGGTTGCGGTGATCGGTGTAGACCTCGACCTTCTCTTCAGCACCCTCTAGGAAGTGTCACCATTCCTCAAGAGCTTGGACGATCGCGAGCATCTCTTTGTCATACACTTTGTAGTTACATCCGTAAAGCTCTTGGACATGAATGCCACCAGGTGGAACTCCCCATCGGGTTGGAGCTGGGAGAGGACCGCACCGGTTGCGAAATTGGAGGCATTGCATTCGAGTTTGAAGCGGCCAGAGTCAGAGGGGAAGGAGAGAACTGGGGCAGTGGTGACAGCTTCTTTGAGGGTATGGAAGGTGTCGTCTTCGTTCGTGCCCCAGTTCCAGGTTTGGGCCTTTCGGGTCAGCTTGTGGAGCAGGCGTGCCTTCTCAGAGAAGTCTTTGATGAACCGGTGATAGAAGTTCACAAACCCCAGGAAGGACTGCACTTCCTTCACTTTGGTTGGGGTTGGCCAGTCAAGGACTCCACGGACCTTTACAGGGTCCATGGCAACGCTGCCCTCCGAGATGACGAGGCCGAGGTACTCGATCTGGGTCCGCTCAAACTTGCATTTTTCTGGCTTCAGGAAGAGCCTCCTCTTTCGCAGCATCTCCAGGACTTCTCGGACGACCTTCCGATGCTCCTCCAGGGTGGCCATGAAGATGAGAATGTCGTCCATGTAGCAGATAACGACTTCCCGGTCAATGAAATCCCTAAGGATGTCATTCATCATGGTTTGGAAAGTCACGGGGGAGTTACACAGCCCAAAGAACATTACCATAGGCTCGAACAGCCCTCGGTTGGTCGCAAATGCTGCCTTCCACTCGTCCCCATCCTTGATCCAGACATTGTTAAACCCCCAGCGCAAGTCCAGGGCAGAGAAGTATTTGGCATTCCGGAGGCAGGCGAGGATGTCCGAGATGAGTGGGAGTGGGTATGAGTTCTTTATGGTGATCTCGTTCAGCTTCCGGTAGTCCTGTACCAGGTGCAGTGATCTGTCCTTCTTTTTGACAAAGAAGACTGGTGCACCCATCGGAGACTTAGACGGTCGTATCCGCCCGTTCTGCAGGTTCTCATGCAGGAACTCATCCAGTTCTTTCTGCTCCAGGCGTGAGAGGGGGAAGGTCTTCCCTCTGGGAAGTTTGGCATCTGGTACCAGATCTATAGCGTGATCCCAGGGCTTCCAGGGGGGCAACTGGTCGAAGGCTTCTTTCGAGAACATGTCCCGGAAGTCCTGGTAGTGCTCTGGCACCAGCGTCTTGAACGATGCGGGCTCTGCGTCCGGGTCACGGGCCTCCTGGGCCATCCACTGGGAGGGGGTCGTCGTGGCCCTCAGGTCGTGGCCCCAGCCGGGGGGGATGATTGCAGTGTAGATCCCATCCCCCGGCTCTAGTGCAGGGTCCTGGTCATCTCGTGCTCGCGGCTGTCTACAGGCAGACAGGCAGCGGGACATGACGACTTTCTGTCATGCCCAGTCTACCTCTGGGTTGTGGTGTAGCAGCCACGAGTGCCCTATGATGAGGGACTGTCGTCCCAGGTTTGCAACCGCAAAGCGGGCACACTCTGTGTGCTGCCTGAACGTCAGGAGGGCTTCCAGCTCTTCGGTTATGGCTCCATTCTCATTTGGGGTTCCGTCAACGTTACGGACAGGAATGGGTTGCGGGAGAGGGGTTGTCTCGAGCTTGTGCTTCCGGATGAACTCAGGGCTTACGGAGTTCCTGGTGGCTCCTGAATCTAGGAGGGCTGATACTGACACTGACGCGAGGGAGGTCAGGGCAGTTAGTTTCACCGTAAGGTTGAGGGATCTGGGGGATTGCTTGGAGAGGACATAGATGGCTGGCAGGGATACTGCCACTTCGGGTGCCGTCTCTATGGTTCTCTTACTCTCATGGGTTGAGGATGTGTTTTTTCTCCTCTTCTTTGCAATAACTCGGTGAAGTTTTGGCATTGGCGTTGACTCACGCGCGCGCTGCAGTATTTACACGAGCTATCTTCTACGGGCACCCAGGACGCATCCCTCACCGGTCGCCTTCCTGAAAATCCCTCTGAGCCTCCGTCTCTGGCTCTGTCCCTTCCGTCTCTGGCTCTTCAGTCAGCTGCCTCTTCAGCCCTTCCATCAATGCCCGAAGGTCCTCAGGGTCCCAAAGACCTTTATAAGACCAGTGCTGTCATATCCATACAATCCCGACCTCCGCTCCGGGCTCCTGGAACTCTGAACTCCGACTTCCGGAGCCCTACTTCCCTTCCGTCACCTTCTCCTTGCCGACTCCCAAGAGGTTACCCCACCTCCGGCTTGGACACCACCTTCGGTCCGACTCCGGAACATTCCGGGTCCGACCCCAACCTCAACACCTTCCAGACGAGTACGCAAAACCTATGCTCCTGACTCTGGACCTCCGCTCCGGAATCCCATTCGCGTCTCCGTCTCCAGAACCTCCGGTCTTAGCTCCGACCTCGGACTTTGACCCCACCTCCGCTTATACCCATTGTATTGGTTAGCTCATTCCATTTAATTATGTTTGCCAATATTCCGGAGTTTAACCTCCGAGTTCGGACTTTCCGGACTTACTCCGGACCTTGCAACTATTGCATTGTCCATTTCAATTCCGCTATTCTCCCTCATTCCTATTTGGGCTGCTGCTTCCTTCTATTCAGTCAGCTAGCCATTCCCGACTCCCATCCTCTTTCCTTCCTCCTTGGGCCTTGGCCCTTCATTCCTCCTTTGGGAAACACCATTGAGTCAAACACTTGACCCTCGGTGTTGTTCCTCTTTCCATCTCCCTTTGTCTCCTTTCGTCTTACCCTTGTTCCTTTTGATTCCGGACCCCTCCTTATATACAATGTACCTAGTAACTTGTAACCTCAGTCCGAAATCGACTTGAATTCCCCCCAAGAGACTTTCCCTCTGCTAGATCCGAAATTAGGGACCCCTAGGACAACCAGCAATGGCACAGCGCTCCGCCTGAGTCGCTGAGGCCGAGGTCCTTCCACGCTAAGTCTCCGATTCCATTCCGGAGTCGTCCAAATCCGCACATTCTAACAAGTGCCCGTGCTATACATATATTCCTCAGTGCCGAGCAAGCACCAGTAATCGCCCTTCTTCACCACAAATCGTCCTGTTTGGTGTCCATTCCTATTGGTATGTACTACAGCTACACACATGAATATGCAGCTGAGTGCATGTCTCTCTTACAGGTCGGCTACTGGCGTAACTCGGCCAATATACCCACACTTGTTGGGGGAGACCTATCCCGTTCTGCTCCTTTGACCTGAACCCATTAGTTTCTTTAGCAGCTACTCCCATGCCAAGGCATAAGCGTGTAATTCCACCCCTTACTACTTTGCCTGTGAAAAAATATCAGCCATATAATTTAAAAAAAAGGACATAAGCACGTCCCAGCCACTGAAGTCCCTATTTCCCAGCCATCATGATGCATTGAGATAGCAAATGCCAGCGGCACCATGATGATGCAACGCTGGGAGCCTGGCATTGAGCCTACACATTGGTGGCAGGTTCCAAATCACCATGATCATGTAGGAAATGCAATGTCAGCGGATGCCAGCAATGTTTCAACTCCCCCTTCAATGCCAGCTCTAAAAAAGGAATCACCAATATGGGAAGCATCCCCTCAGGGTTGGCTGGAAAATATCGCAGAGCCCACTCCTTCGGGCCCAGACACTGCTCTGTCCCCTGCACTGTTGCGGTCAGCTTCCCGAAAGCGGGCCAAGAGAGCATTACGAAATCCGCAAAAGCAAGTTGCATGGCTCCATTGGCACCGCAATGTAATACACAAAGCAGTGGAAATCTATCTAGGTCTAGAGGCAAAGAAGGCAGGACATGTGCCCCTTGCCACCCCCAGCGAGACGTTGTATGATAGAAACGGAAAACTGCAAACACCAGCAGCATCGCTGTGCTCCCACTGCAATACATCTTTCCAGTTTCATTCACTCATGATGATCGCATTCTCAGGTACGTTTGTGTTCTGACCTCGCTTAGCAGTGTCCCAATGACCCTGAGCCAGGTGCCATGGGGCAGATGTTCGAATATTGCAAATGTCCATCCAATACTCTCCCGCTTAGCATCATCCAGTCTGGCTACTTTCCAGGGTCACCTGTAACGACCCAAGTTGCCTTTCATTTTGATGTCCTTTCGCTGTATTCAGCTTTGCATGTGGACTTGTACACCCCAATTGCCTCCTTTCATGCCGCTTTGTTTGCCATGTTACGAGAGAACTGTTACGAATTCACCCACAACATAAGATCTATTTGTTGCATGTCGGGAGTTGGCACCTTCATGATCTGGCGCGCATATAGGACCCCTTTCTGCAGTCATTTAGCGAGGCGATAACATGGTTTCAAGCCCTATGTGACTCGGTAGAGGTTGAAACAGAGAGAGAGTTTCTCCTACCCACATCCCCTGTGGCACCTGATGCACCGCTATGTCGTTCCACGCTGGTTGAGTCCGCTGTGTTTACCCTTGTCGCTCCTGCCCACAACGGTGATCCATCAGTCACTGCATCCCATGGCATGATGACCGTTAACCACAGCATCCCAACCTCCATAGGGATGTCACCGGACCTTCCATTGATGGTCCATGAGCGAACAAAGCTGATTCGCAACTCATCTGACAGCAGTGCAAGTCCATACCTCCAGGTGATGTTAGAATGGGCGGATTCAGACAACTCCGGAGTGGAATCGGAGACTTAGTGTGGAAGGACCTCGGCCTCAGCAACTCAAGCGGAGCGCTGTGCCATTGCTGTTTGTCCATTTGGTCCTCAATTTCACAGTAGGCGAGCAGGAAGTCTCTAGGGGGCATTTCAGGTCGATTTCGGACTGAGGCTCCTATGAGTATGTACAAGTGCCGATATATATAATGAAGGGGGTGAAAGCACAAGGAAAGGGGAACCGAATCGGAATGAAGGCGTTCGAATGGGAACAAAGGGATGACAGAAGCGGAGCGGTACCGAAGGTCATAAGGCAGAACCTGTGATACATCCGAAAGGAGGTAAGGAGGGTGAGGCCCAGAGGGGCAGGAGGATGAGGGGAAGTGGGGATGATGACTAACTGGCTAGAATGGGAAGAAGCAGCAGTCCAAATAGGGATGAGGGGAAAACACGAGAGATACATTACAAGCGGCGAAAGTGCCGAAGATGATCTGTGAAGCTCGGAGGTTGTGGAGCTTACGGAGGCGGGGTTGAAAGTCCGAGGAATATTGGCAATGGTGTTTACGTAGTATGAGGTCACCAATGCAATGGACTAAGACTGAGGTGGAGTCAAAGTCCGAGGTAGGAACTATGATGGAGGCTCAGAGCAAAGGTACAAGCAGTGCCCAAGTATGAAGTATGGGTCAGTGGTGGAAGGTCGTAACTTGGCAGGAGGTCAGCAGAAGAGGACCAGAGGGAAGGGAGAGGAGAGAGGGAAGAGGGAAGGAGTGGTGGAAGGGAGAGTTGTCAGGTCCGAAGGTGAGTATCAGAGCAGATGGGAGAAGAGTAGGAGGATGACGGAAGGGTGGAGGTGTTTGGGAGGAGGGAGCGGAGGAGTGGGAGGAGGAGTAGTAGGAGGGTGGCGAGAGGGGTGGTGTTCGGTCCGAAGGTGGTTATCGGAGCGGACAGAGATAGGACAGGAGAGTGACAGAGGAGTGGAGGTGGCATGGGAGGTGAAGGGTGGTGTGGTGCCAGGACCGAAGGTGAATATTGGAACGGACAGCGGTAGGGTAGGACTCCGGAGGTGGGGAAGGAGGAGGTCCGGAAGTCGGGTCGGGATCGGGTATGCATGGATATGACATGTGAGATGCCTGCAATGTTTTGGAGGCTCAATGTGGGGCAATTCAGCCAACAAGTTAGTCCTCTCATACATATGCTTTGGGAACAGGTATACTAAGCGATGTCATCATCGCCATGGATGGTAATATGCAACATAAGCAATACATGTTCATTGGAGGAGAGATGATTCTTCCCTGGAATGAAACTTGCACATTCCTCACCGATGCCGAAATTGAGGAAGCTGCCCGCCATATCTCTGATGCACGAGCTGCATCTAGAGGCTGTTTGGAAGTATCTCATCCCTCATCCCTTGTACCAGATGGTGCTATTGACAAATGCAAAGAATCACACAGAGCCACGAAACGTGGAAAGCAGTCAGCCTCAAAAATGGATACCTTCCGTTTGAAGGGCCTGATGGCAACCGTATGCCATCATGACATCCCCCTTTTCCTCTGCGATGTACACACTCCAGGTGAACAGCAGCACTTTTCAATTGCCATGTTGCACTTAGCCACCAACTACCCTCAAATGCCACTATTGGATTAATGTATGATGTTGGGTGTGTTCTTGATCGATCGATTGCCAAGGTATGGCCTCGCATGGTCTGCAACTACAACCTCTGATATTTGAACAAAGTACAATCTTATCCCCGAAATCGCTCCTAGATTGAGCATCGCCATTTCAGTCTTCCATGCCTACACACATCAATTCTGTTGTCAAATCGCATTTCACCCCTGGAAATGAAATGGGTTCAGAAAGTCAAACAGGGAAGGAAATGAGCGATTATGGTCCTTGATTGTTGATACAATTGCACCTGAACGCATAATGAGTGTGAGTCCCAACACTGTTTGGTCGACAACCCTCTCTTATGCAATGTTGTCCCAAAACTCGCCAGCAAAATCACAACTATTGACAACAAAATCAAGATGATCGCGTGCTGTGGCCGAGACCGCCCCACTTCATTGGCTAGATCCAAATTGGCCACCATTGTTCATGAGGAGGCACTTCTAATCGACCTCCTGCAAGATTTGAAGAGTAAGAGGGGATTCACAACTCCTTTCCTTCAATGCCAGTGGGAAGAGCAAAAGTCTTTGCAGCTCTCCGTTCGAGCCTGTATGCCCATTCCTGATCTCATGTTCGGCGTTGACTTATGCTGTTATGCCTGTCATATCCATCCCCAGCCATCGACTTCCAATCCCTCCGATCCCTCCAGTCCATCTCCGCTCCTTCTTCACTAACCTCGGAGCTTCCGTATTCTGCAATCCCCTCGGTACCCCTTGATGGTCACCACCCCCTCCTTTCAATTTATTACCTACACCTCCCTAAGTACGGAGCCCCAAAGGCTTCCGGACAGCTCCGACATCCGCTAGCACACTCCTGCCTCCGCTGGGCAATACACTCGCTTGCCCTGCAGAGCCCACCTTCGGGCCTATCCCTCCTTTCCGTTTCTGGGTTATCTCCTGCCTTTCCGTTAACCCCATAACCCGACTTGTCGGTAATATTCAATCGGCTAATGTTTAACCCCGTTAGCTCGGCTCCGCCATTTGCGGACCTGCCTTCGCTGTAACTATATATACCCAACTTGTACATAGGTTACACTTCAGTAATAAAATTGACTAGAGTTTATCCCCCTTCAGTTCTGGTTGCCAGTTTAGTAAGTTAGGGCACGGACATGTTACTTGGCACAGCGCTCCTGGCATAAGTCACTGAGGCCGAAGCCCTCTGCCACGGAGACACTCCTTCATCTCGACCTGGTCTCTGACAGTATTTTATTACTCCCTGACTAGTACACATCTTGTATGGCACCAAAGGCCCCTCGCACTCGTTCGCAACTATGCACATTGGTTCCAAACTCTGCCTCACCGTCCCCAGAACCCTCACAGCCTGGTCCTAGTCGATTGGCAAGGAACCCAGTTGAGTTTCGAAGCTTTTCTAACCTTGAAACCCCTCTCCCATCGACTCCGATCATGCATCCCGTTAGGAATCGATCACCAGTTGCAGATTCCGACTTCGGAGACACCACGGAACAACCCATAGACCCCGTTCACTTCTTTGGACTCGGTTCCAAGGTCCCCGACTTCGTCGATCCTCCTCCTGCTGATCCTCCCATCCCCACTGTCCCAACTGCTGACGACACCGAACCCACCTCCAACGTGGCTATTGCACAATTAGCCCAAGCCATTGCCAGCTTGGCTTGTCACACCGGTCGTCCACCACCTCCACCATCCTCTGCTCTCCGGACCAAGGTTTGTGAGCCTGAACAGTTCGACGGGAAAGATCCCTGCAAACTCCGAGTATTCCTGGTCCAATGTGGACTCAATTTCCAGGACTGTCCCCTCGCTTTTGCTAGCGACTGTGCTAAGGTCATCTTTGCACAGTCCTACCTCAAGGGAATGGCCCTCGATTGGTTCGAGCCGGATCTATTATTCGACCAAAATTCTACACTTCGTCCACAATGGATGAATAACTATCAAGAGTTCGTCAACGAACTCCAAACCAACTTTGGTCCTCACGATCCTGTGGGCGACGCTGAGGTTCAACTAATGACCCTGGACATGAAGGATGGGCACCACATCAATAAGTACGTTGTCAAGTTTAACCGACACGCCTCTCAACTTCATGGTTACGGAGAAGCCATGCTTCGTCGTTTTTTCTATAACGGATTGCCAGAACGTATCAAGGACGATATTGCCAGAGTAGGTAAACCTTCTACTCTTTCAGAACTTCACACCTTGTCACAAACTCTCGATGTGCGCTATTGGGAGCGTAAATCTGAAGTTACACGTCACGTGAAACCCTCCTACTCTAATGTTTTCGACAAGTCCAACGCCGCTTCTCGTTCCGACCCCGACCCTTCCTCCTCCTCTTTCAACTCCGCTTCCGGTAGTAAGCCTCCGAAGGACAATAAGAAGCCTGAGGCTAGCTCCGTTAAACCGGACCTTTCATCTAAACTCGAGACAACAGCAAGCTCACGCCACAAGAGCATAAGCGCCATCTTGACCAAAGACTTTGTATGTTCTGCGGTCAGTCCGGCCACATGGTCAAGGACTGTCCCAAGTCTTCTTCTCGCGCGTCTAAGGCCCGTTTGGCCCAGACCGAGGAGCAAGGATCCGCTTCTGCAGAAGCAAAAAATTAGTCCGCACCCCTGTGGACTCCGCACGGACCGGGGGTTGCGATCCTTCCTTCCGTGCGCTCAAAGAAGTGCGTTTAAACACATCTTCCATCTCCGACTTATCCTCCCTCCATATTCCCGTTTCTTTTTCTCTTTCAAATGGTCTATTTTCTCCTCTCAATGTTGACCCTTCGGTTAATGTTCTACCTGTTGTAGATAGTGTTGCTGATGTACCACTCTCTCC